AGAAATAACGAAAGAATTAAGGAAATATTTAAAGAAAAAAAAGAAAAGATTAAAGAAATAACGAAAGAATTAAGGAAATATTTAAAAGAAGAAAGAAAGAAAAGATTAAAGAAATAACGAAAGAATTAAGGAAATATTTAAAGAAAAAAAGAAAAGATTAAAGAAATAACGAAAGAATTAAAATAAAAAAAAGAAAAAAAAAAGATTAAAGAAATAACGAAAAATTTAAAAGAAAGAAAGAAAGAAAAGATTAAAAATAACGAAAAAAATTTAAAAATATTTAAAGAAAAAAAAAGAAAAGATTAAAGAAATAACGAAAGAATTAAGGAATTAAGAAAAGAAAGAAAAGATTAAAAGAAAGAACGAAAGAATTAAGGAAAATTTAAAGAAAGAAAAGATTAAAGAAATAAAGAAAAAATATTTAAAAAAAAAAAGAAAGGTTAAAGAAATTAAAGGAAATATTTAAAGAAAAAAAGAAAAGATTAAAGAAATAACGAAAGAATTAAGGAAATATTTAAAAAAAAAAAAGAAAAGATTAAAGAAATAACGAAAGAATTAAGGAAATATTTAAAGAAAAAAAGAAAAGATTAAAGAAATAACGAAAGAATTAAGGAAATATTTAAAGAAAAAAAAGAAAAGATTAAAGAAATAACGAAAGAATTAAGGAAATATTTAAAAGAAGAAAGAAAAAAAGAAAAGAAATAAAGAAAAGAAAAGAAAGAAAAAAGAAAAGATTAAAGAAATAACGAAAGAATTAAGGAAATATTTAAAAGAAGAAAGAAAGAAAAGATTAAAGAAAGAACGAAAGAATTAAGGAAATATTTAAAGAAAAAAAAAAAAAAAATTTAACGAAAGAATTAAGGAAATATTTAACGAAAGAAAAAAAGAAAAGATTAAAGAAAGAACGAAAGAATTAAGGAAATATTTAACGAAAGAAAGAAAAAATCAAAGAAAGAAAATGTTTTGGATTTCTGGATGAAATCCGGTACCAATAAATAACAAACGCCAAGAAGGAATATAGGAAATTAAATGTATTAATGTAATAATACAAACTGGTAATGCAGGTTAGTAGTTCCAGGAATGTGTGTTAGTAGCAATATATATATATATAGTCTTTGGTATTAATGTATCACTGTATAACTTCTTACTGAGTCTACGCGCATGCTCACTGTGACTCTTGCTCGCTACGTTCGTTCTGGTTCGTCGCTCGTTCGTCATTCTTTCTCGTTCTTCTCTCGGGTATTCACTAGCAGTAGTATATGTATACCCTGGGTGAGACCATTTGTGTAAAAAGGAGAAAACCCCTCAACAGAAAGAAAAAAGTAAGGAAATATTTAACGAAAAAAAGAAAGGATTAAAGGAAGAATTAAAGAAAGAATTAAGGAAATATTAAACGAAGGAAAGAGTTGAAGAAAGATAGAATGAAAGAATTAAACAAAGAAAGAATTAAGGAAGGAAAGAGTTAAAGAAGAAAGAAAGAAAGAAAGAATTAAACAAAGGAAGAAAAAATAAACAAATAAAGAGTTAAAGAAAGATTTTTAATTAAAGGAAGATAATGAATTAAAGAGAGAAAGGAAGAAATAGAGAAATATTTAACGAAAGATTGAAAGAAAGGAAGAAAGAAAGAAAGAATTAAAGGAAGAAAAAAGAAAAGACAGAGTTAAAGAAAGAAAGAAAAATGTGAAAACGAAAAAGAAAGAATTAAAGCATTAAAGAAAGAATTAAAGAAATATTTAACGAAAAGAAAATTAAATTATTTAACGAAAGAAAGAAAGAAGTAAATGAAGGAAGAATAAAGTATTAAAGAAAGAAAATAAGAAAGAAAGAGAACGAAATTTGAATAATAATGATTCGGTTGGTTGATTTGTTTTCTACGGTTTATCAACCCTTTCCAGGTTATTTAAAGCCAGTAATATATTTAGATTGTACAAGTGTTTTTGTAGATGTGTTACTGATAAAAGTCTTAAAAACTAACCCGTAGCGTAAGTAGAAAAAGTGTGTTCATACATTTCCCAAGGGTCTTTGCGAATATAACGAATCCAACTGATTAACAACTCTGAGTCATTATCAACTACCTCACGCCACATCCAATTTTACACCTCCTGGTATTCCAAGCGGACACCAATTTAGATACTTATCAGGCTCGACGTTGCTTAATTTTCGGTTAGGTGAGCGTACAGGAACCCGTGTTTCAATTTGACGTGGCTTTTACAATTATTGAAATAAATACAGATGAAATATGAGCGTGAATAAAATAAAATAAGAAAGAAAATACACAAATGCCCTGTATGAAGAAATCGCACTTCGATGGCAAAATAAATGCTTGAGAAAAATGACAAAGATAGCAAGCGCCAAACCGTAAGTCAAGTATAATTTTACGAATAACCAATGTATATTTTATAATTTCACAAACAAATATTTATTTTGTTTGACCTGAATAATGCTTTTGAAATATATCAGTTTACCGGATAAAACTTTCACATCCAAACTGTAAATCTTGTATTTTAATGAAATTACATTGATATCCATTGTCTATGATTAAGCCGAAGGAAAAAGCCAATATTCAAACTGCTACTTTTTACGACAGACAAAGTTTATCTATTTCGAATAGCTACATAAAACAAGAGGCACAGTGGATAAATGGATAGCGACTCGTATTGAGTAATCCGAGTTCAAATTCAAGTCGATTTATTTACGTGTTAATACCCTTGGGAAAGGTGTGAATACTCTTCTTTTAAATAGCAGGGCAGACTGGGTTCTCTAGCCTTAATGGCAACTGGTCTACTGCAGAAACATAGTCTCGTCAGTCATGTATCAAAAGATGCATGATCGCCTAAGCGTGTATCACGCATGGCACATAACTGACTAACTGACATAGCACAATCCTTTTTCTTACCGATGTTCGTATTTCATTTTGCAAACATTATGCAGTAAATCAATTCATTTTCAGGAGGTCTTTTCAGACGTCACAGATTCACGTCAGGATTTCAAACGTAATATATGAACTCAATACAAATTAGAAATAAACAACATCGTAAAGTTTTCAAAGATTTTCTTTGCTGTAACTTTATTTTAGACTTGGGGGAAGTTACATGTGATTGGAGTGGAATAAAACCTGATCATTTACAACACCGTAAATGCGAGGTCACTCTCTCTAAATTGTTAGGTCTTCGGCTTCACATCGGATATTACACGCTTATAAATACATAAAAATGTTACGTTCACAGTATAAATTTTCTCAGGTGTTTTAGAATGACACCTGGATCATTTCCAGTTCAGTCAGATCATGATCTGAGTCGAAGTCAGTTTCTCAGGTCAGACACCTCATCGCACGACACGGGTCTTTGCATGGAAAGTTCATTTAGAATGACACGTGCAATGTCATTTGATAGCTACATAGAATCGTGTAAGCCAATCATTATCTCGGGAAAACACTAGGCGTGGTTTCGATTCCAGTAATGGTAGGAAAGATTAGGTGTCGCGACAGCTCTCAGCAGGACTGAAGGTGTAGGATCTTGTGTGCAAATACGTCTCCCTACCACTCTTTGACTCATATGGGTTAAAGTTGATAGACACATCATTCGGTGAAAGGTTCCAAAAACTGCTCCAAAAATGGAGCGTTGCTTTAGACCAACAAAAATGTCTGCTCGAATTGCATGTAGTTTTAGGGTGCATAAAATTTGAAGTGTCAAACGTTGCTTTTACGATCAAAAGAAAGGAAATGATGGCGAGTCATAACTGCCTACTACACATAACAGAAGACCCAGGTTTCCTACATTGAATGTGGATGGGATTTTGGCCAGTGTTGGTTGTCTGTTTGCCACATAAAATTTTGACCAGAGGCCTGTGGTGACGATCATTAAGGACACGACGATGCCTACTGTACTACTCGAAATATGCAGTAATGCCTTTTGTAAGGTATTCTCGCTACGAGTATAAAACTCTAGATCGATAGGCATCAAATGTTTCTAACATTTTAGAAATAGACTATTTGACTATAATGTGATTCGAACCCAGTTCTCAGAAAGTGAATATTGAAAATTGAGATTAAATGAATGACAGAATTTAAAAACTTCTAAGTGGTGTGTTTCGTTTCGAGAAAGAACAAATAACTTTCAGAAGATACAAATAACAAAGATAAAAGACAAAGATGGAAAATATATTGTTTTATTTCTAAATTCTTTTTCAATTTCTTCTTTGAAGATTATTTGATATATATATATATATATATATATATGTGTGTGTGTGTGTGTGTATGTGTGCGTGCTTGTGTGTGTGTGTGTGTACGTATGTATGTATTGGAACCGTTTATTTAAATTCGGTATGGCTTCTTCATTTCATTTGGCATACACAACTTATTTCCCAAAAGTTATTTCAATAGACAATCAATAGTCTCTCGCAAATCAAATGACGCTTGACATAATACTGTTTATCTTCCTTCATATTTCCTATTTCATCCATTTAAATATTGTTGCAAATAAATATCTTTTGATATCAGATAATCATTGTTCATGTGCAATGAACATTATCTACAGTAATGTTGTTATCAAATCGAATACATGTCTCTTATAGTGTACTAATTTGTACTAACATTACTTCAAAATATTTAGTCCGCATTAAGGAAAAATATTTTAGCATAACTTTAGAAAGAATAACAAGACAAAAAGACGTACATAATTTTATATTTTAACGAGTTTCATATAATTAAAACATGTCGAAATCTTTATGTGAAAACATAATGAGAGTAAGCAATACTCGTGCAATATTAACATTATGGACACATGACCGACTATTTAGATCATTCGATTTCTGATCATGAGACCCGCATTCCTATCTCATCGTAGTCGATTTGTTTGAAATGTGACTTCTTGATGAGTTGTTCCTAACGTGCGGCATCGTCGGAAAGTGCCTGGAAACCATACCAACGGTTTCCCCAAGCCTCTTGATTCATTACACAAATAAATGCACTATAAAATATCACTTTCCCTCTTTATAAATCCCTAACATATATACATAGATAGGTAAGTAGAGAGATATGCAGACATAGATAGATAGATAGATAGATAGATAGATAGATAGATAGATAGATAGATAGATAGATAGATAGATAGATAGATAGGCAAGCATTGATAGATGTATAGACGGGTAGGCATAGATAGATAGGCAAGCATTTGTAGATAGATAGATAGATAGATAGATAGATAGATAGATAGATAGATAGATAGATAGGCAAGCATTGATAGATGTATAGGCAGGTAGGCATAGATAGATAGGTAAGTATTTGTCGATGGATAGGTGGGTAGGCATGGAGATAGATAGATAGATAGATAGATAGATAGATAGATAGATAGATAGGCAAGCATTGATAGATGTATAGGCAGGTAGGCATAGATAGATAGGTAAGTATTTGTCGATGGATGGTAGGTAGGCAAAGATAGATAGATAGATAGATAGATGATAGATAGATAGATAGATAGATAGATAGATAGATAGATAGATAGGCAAGCATTGATAGATGTATAGACGGGTAGGCATAGATAGATAGGCAAGCATTTGTAGATAGATAGATAGATAGATAGATAGATAGATAGATAGATAGATAGATAGGCAAGCATTGATAGATGTATAGGCAGGTAGGCATAGATAGATAGGTAAGTATTTGTCGATGGATAGGTAGGTAGGCATAGATAGATAGATAGATAGATAGATAGATAGATAGATAGATAGATAGATAGATAGGCAAGCATTGATAGATGTATAGGCAGGTAGGCATAGATAGATAGGCAAGCATTTGTCGATGGATAGGTAGGTAGGCATAGATAGATAGATAGATAGATAGATAGATAGATATCAGACAGACAGGCAAACAAACAGTCAGACATCATATCTAATGACACGTGATGCGAAATCCGCTACACGATTTAGAATTCAAATTAACTTATTTTTTATATTTCAGTCAGTTAGTTAAGGTGATTTTCTAAGTGTAGCTTAGATGTGGCACAAGGCCGAAAGTATGGAGCACCCACTGAGATCAAAATTACTACTCAGTGGTAATTGTTCTAGCGAGACAAGCTTGTTAACCATTACACCGCCCTGAGGTGCCCCAGTCAGTCAGTTATGTATCATATGTGATACACGCTTTCGCGATCATGTCTCTTTCGATTCATGACTAGCAAGGTAGATATTTTCCCCAGCTGGATGCTGCCATTTTTACTGCAATAGACTGTTTGCTAACCAAATATCTAGGATCCAGTCTGTCCTGCTATTCAATTCGTAGCTGAGAGAAGAAGAGTATCCATACCTTTTCAAGGATTCTTGCGCGTAAGCGAATGTAACAAAACCGATTGGAATCCTAAATCCGAGCCATTATCCATCTTTATATTTATTTTCGTAGAAAAAGCAGAATCCATCCATTTTCCTGCTAACTATGGATTAACTAGCAAGTCAGTCAGGGCACTTAAGCCTTGGTTGGAAACCAGTCTAGGAAAATTCTTATTTTAACAAACGGTTGTGCATGGAACTAGCAACTCCAGCCCTTCAAACAAACCTGCTATAAAAACCGCAGTAGCGAAACGACAATACTCCACAGTGGAGTTTACGTAACTAGAGTGAATGAGTGAGTGAGTGATATATATATATATATATATATATATATATATATATATATATATATATATATATATATATATACGTATGTTAATAGTAATGGTGTGAATAGCCGTTTCCTTATAAGGAAACCTTCGCTATTGTTTGACCGAAACGGAATTACTGTTAATAGTTTCCTCAAGTCCGCTAACAATTATCACGATTTCTCCCACTGATGTGTTATTTCTAACCATTTGCTTAGGGTAGTGTAGAAAATTAGTCGCTTGATTATTTCATTGTATTCCATTTTAGTTTCATACCAATTTCAGCCGCTGATGTTGCTGGAAGTCAAATGATATATTTTGAGTTAACGATTCTGTAGCGCCATTATTCCCATGAATTATCTGCGACTTTCCCGTAGCACAGTGATGAACACTGCTTCAAACTGATCGTGTATAAATATTATATTTGTAAATAGTATCCAATGTTAATATCAGTACACTAATTTTCAAGACTCAAACATTTTATTTTTCATTTTTGTCTATTCGTTTCCAGGTGCATTGGTTAAGAGGTATAGATCGGCAGGATATAGTTAGGCATGCGCTTCAATTAAGAAAATTCAATTAAATGCTAATAACATTTCTTTCAAAATGACTGCTCTTTTTCGTCTTCAAAAGCCTATCGCCTTCTTTGAAAGTGGAGAATTAATTTTATGTTTAAGCCTACGGCAGATTTCGCACTGAAATCACAATTATAACTAAAGACTATATTTTCAGAAATTAATATCTAAAGTTACTTTTCCTATTATAATATCTGTGTTTCCTTCATCCATTCATCTATTTTCTACACCCCTTCCTTCAATTTGCAATGTGTTGTTTTTTCTCTCTTTACCTCGCTTCCCTTATTCTCTATCTCCTCGTATTTATTTATCATTCCCTGTTCCTATTTATTTATATATATATATATATATGTATGTGTGTGTGTGTTTAAATGTGTTTGCCAATATGTGGATGTATCTAAAAAGTAATAGAATGCGAGTAAGAATAGTAAATAACACTCACGTAGCATTTCTTTATATCTAGCTATCTCTCTCTCTCTCTCTCTCTCTCTCTCTATATATATATATATATATATATATATATATATATATATATATATATATAAGGCAGGATGTATGTGTGTGTGTGTGTGTGTGTGTGTGTGTGTGTGTGTGTAACGAATGCACGGCCGCAATTTTCGACGGATTTGCATGCACATGCTCCAAGTTAGCGGTTAGGCCAAAACAGACTTTGCATTTCCCAACTCCCATCGATAGTGGAAATAAGCGACTTTTTCATGCTTCTACAGCAGTTTTCATGTAGTTTACGGCCATTTTCTCTTGGCCAGAGTGAGAGCCAATAGTTGGCAGGAAGATTCTATTGGCCAGCGTGCGAGCCAACAGCTGACTGACACGAATGTTAACTAGCATGCTAGCATGCAAAAAAAAATCGATAGCTGCATTCGTCACAAGTGCGAAAAATTTAAATCTGCAGGGCACACCAATTGGCTCATTCGCTTGGTTAAACTCAACGTTGATTCTGATTCCGCAGAACTGGGTTGGGTGTAAAAAAGTATTTGTTGTTAACATTCTTTTTTCATTTGTTTTTTCCAGTTACGAGTCCTTTTTTTTTTAAATCTGATCGTTTTGTGTTCATTTTATTTAGTTCTTTTTTTGTAACAGATTTAATGTTTAGTATAGAGCTTAGAAAAAATTCGCAAGATGTAAGGCATGTAGCAACACCAGCACGGCATAGGGCACCCCTTTAAAGGCAGGGAAGGACAAAAATATTTTAAGTCAAGTGATAGCGATTACTGTATTAGTCGTACGATTTTTGAATCAAGCACGGGCAACGCCGGGCCATGCTGTATATATAGTATATATATATATATATATATATATACAGGGTGATTGAAAAGTAACTCCCCATTTTAAAATACTTATAATTTATTTATTAACTAAACTCCGTCATCATCCAATAAATCTCATTCGTAATATCAAACTGCACATCATAATCTCTTTCTTTCCGTTTCTCTCCCAGCCTCGTGTGTGTGTGTGTGTGTGTGTGTGTGTGTGTGTGTGCGTGTGTGTGTGTGTGTGTGTGTGTGTGTGTGTGTGAATTTTTTGGGTAGGTTGATTTTAATCTCATTTTTCATTCTCTTTCAATTGCAAGATTCCTCCTCTTCATCCTCATTCTCCTCCTCTCCTTCTTCTTGTATCTTACCTGTATGCCTTCAGAATGTGAGCGATCATGGCTCTCCATAACTTCCTATCATTTGTAGTTCTTGTCGACATCGGCATTGTTTTACCCATTCTGTTCCCTGTACTGACAATCATTTGTTAAGCCCATTAGTTAGGTTACTCACTGTTTCCCGATGTCGCTCTTGCCTTCAAATGATTTTACCCTGTTAAATTATCCAAAACTTCTTTCATCATTATGTATCCCAGAAAGTTGAACTGTATCCCTGATTGTAATTATAATCACTGATTTATATTTAATTTTTATAAAAGTTTCTCTGTTGCTTACAAGCTCTGTCCATGGAATTCACATCATCCTTCTGCAGAACATCTTTTTTACATAACGTCTTTTCGTAATCTCTGGGGAAATCGTCCAGTATTAACAGCCATTTAGGACTGATATTGAATGATATTTCAACACTATTTTCGATATTTCTTAGAAAATTTTGTGGTTTGTATCCTTGAAACTAAGTTGTTTCATGAATGACCTTCCCGATATTATCAGTTTCTAACGAGGCATTTATGCTGATGACATAGTTAAAACCTGTTTTAATAGTAGGCCCGACAAAGTAAAACTAGCAGCCGATCGCGAAAATGACCTACAATCAGTTGTTAACTGGGGCAAGCAATGGCTTGTAAATTGTAACTCCTCAAAAACGTCACTGCTAAGTTTTAATCATCATAGAAAACCATTTTACGCTCCATGGTTGATGCTAACCTCTAGGAGAGCACCTCGTTGCATCTTCCTGGTCTAACGTTTTCTACTTTCAGAAAGTGAAATTATTTTTTTGTGGTACACCAGGAACCTCTTCTCGCCACTGTCAACCGGAGAAAAATGGCGAAATTTTGGTCACATTACAAGCCACGACAGTCAGTACAAGACCATCATACAAGGCACCCTTGAAGGTGGACGTAGGAGATGATGCCAACACAAAAACTGGTGGGACAATGTCAAACAATGGACTGGTATGACTGTACCAGCATTGCTGATGGCTGCTCTTGGATTCGTCCTACGATAGCAAAAGTCTAGGGGATGATGAGGATGATGATGATAACGACGATGATGATGATGTTTTGAAGTGATTTTTATAAGTGCCTATTTGGGTATGTGATTTGTGAAAATGACTTCTGCGCAACATATGAACTGTTACTTTTACTCCCTTATTGTGTTCGTTTTTTTTCAGAAGTTGTGTTTTATTTCGCGAGGTCTGCTCCTAGGAAAGTTGGTTCACTGTGTCGTCCCAGACAGTTCTCTTCGTCAGAATCCTTGTTGCACATTTATAAATGTACCATTCGTCCGTGCATTGTATATAGCTGTCACAACCGGTCTTGTGTTCCGGCTTTAAATCTCTACAGAAGGGAAAACTTCTGAACTTTTGAAAAAAGTAAGTAGGCAAATCCGAAAAACAAAATTGAATGAAGAGCTGAGATATTCAAGTAATTATGAATATGCGTGACTTTTTTTTTAGAACCTTCAGTCTTCAGTTGCTTACGACCAGTTTCACGACATCAAAAATTCATGTTACTTAAATACCTGATAATGACTCGGTTCTCTTCTCCATTTGCAGTCTATTTTCATTCTCCTTCATCTTTTCATTTTTTTCCTTCTATAATTTTCTTTGAGAAATTTCCCCTAAATTCTGCTTCTCAATTACCATTCCCCTAATGATCTCTCGACGTATCTTCTCACCACATGAAATATTTTTTCTGCTAATGACACCATTCACGAGTGCCAGTTTTGTTGTCAACTTTCAGAAACTCCTTTGTTTACAAGTACGAGACATCTGATTTCAACTCGACTCTTCACTTTTCAAATTATGGGGTTAAAAGGTACATCTCACCTGACGGAAAAATATGCTATGGCAACCGGAGTGGCAATAATCAATCAATAATAATATGTGTACTAAGAAGGTTTTTGTCCTTTAGAAAACGACATCTTTGAATTCGAATACAGGGATCTTTACGTTTAAATAAATTCAACCTTGAATTTTCGTGATTACCAATTGAAGGTGTTGATTAAGAATG